GAGCAATGCCTTGCTTTCTCATGCAGATTTTTTACCTGATTGGATTTGCACTGTTTTGCCTAGAAGCACTGCTGAGCTTGTGGTTACTTCAGGTTAGAGAATCGATCTCGTAAATCTACTAAGAATGTATTTATTGAGATTCTGAGGCTTTACTCATTTGGTGTCCTGGAAACAATTGCATATTTGTTTTACAATATGGGATCCTGAGGCTTCTTTTTGCACGTATGAGAAGAATATGAGATCATTGATATCAACGAATTATTTATTTCAGTCTTTTGACACTGAATAAAGGGGAAATCAAATCATTCATGAAGAATTTATTTATATTTGTATCTAAATACATATATAAATATGTACACCTATAAATACATAAAAATGTGTGGGCGCGTGGGTAGGCTTGGTGCTCTGGGGAATTCTTGAGTTGTATTTTTCTTCTGCAAATGAGATTTACAGACTTTATTTGTTCATATTATTGTAGAGATTTATGTTTTGTGTATTAATGAGTTATTCTTTGGCAGAAAATATATTTGTATTTCCGAGGGAACAAGTAATTCTTGGGTCTGGAAGCTGAAGCATCTCTCTTTGAGGTGAACCTCTCTCTTACCGGTGATGTATGTTTCTTCTTAATGGAAAGAGATATTATGAAATGATTGGCTTGTACTATAGTGATTACTCTAATATTACTGTCGAAATGTTTATGCATTGTAGTAGTTCGACAAATTCGATTCTATTTTATTTGTTTTGTTTGTCGGAATTAATTGAGGGTCCAGAGTGAGTTTTGTTTTGTCACAGGGCTTCGGATCTTTGAGTTTGCCTTATCATTACTGCAGGATTGCTTCTGAATTTTTCTTTTTCTTCTAACTCATACTTTTTAACTTTTATTTTAACTCCACACACTCAAAGAGCCTAGGAAAATTTTGTTAAAATAGGGGCTGAGCCTTTTGCCTTGAATAATATGGCCATAATGATTTAGATATTACAATATTGTTGCATGCAAGTACCAGTTCAAATGGATTTTAAAATGTCACGTGAGCCTCACATGACCCTTTTTATTCGAACATGTTGGACTTTGATTATGCTCATCTAAATCCATCGTTTGATTCTCAATTTTTTTTTTTAAATATATTTTTTTCTTTTCTTTTAATTAAACATTTTTCAATAAAATAACATTACACGCAAATTTAAAGTTTTTATTTTTATTTTTTAATCATATTTTCCATCAATCTACCATTTCAAAAATCATTTGAACCCAAAAAATGGACTCAAACATGCCCAAAAACATTGCATTTGATGGGTGGGGATGATAAAATATTCCGTCATGCTGTGCCCTGTCTACTGGGGAATTTCATGGGGATGAAGAACATGATTCTTGTTCCAAATTAGTCCTGAATTCTGTTTTATATTTTTAAATTTAAATTGTATTTGAAAATTTAAAATGTATTGAAATACTAAGTAACTGGGATACTTCTAATGGCTTCCCAATTACAAACCGAAATATTTGTAAAAATGATAGGCAACTCGTTTTCCCTTCACTCTTAAAATCAAAATCCAAATTCCTATGGAATTAGATTAATTAATATAAAATTTATTCACAAGTCAGACGAGACTCAATGCAACGACAACGTTTGTTTTTATATTTGAAACTTAGCTTCGAGTTTAACGTGCTTTTACGAGAAAAAGGAAAAGGGGAGGGGGAGGGTGGGGGCGGGGGGTGCCCAAAAAAAAAAAAAAATTGATCTTAATTTCACGCTTCTAACATCCAAAGTGCTTCTCCATCTCTATATTTACCATAAATTGCCACCTCTAGAATTTTCGGCTCCTATTTGTCTCTCTCGTTCTTTAACAATTCATTTTCTCTCTCGTGCGCATTTGGAAATTCCTTCTTGTGGCTGCATTTTCTTTATTTCCAGTAGTTATGCATACCAAAAATACTTGATCAGTAAAAAGTTCATATACTTTACTGAGATTTGTTCTTTAAACTTTTCACTAGCTTCTTATCGCTGTGTTGTCTCATTTTGTGTGTTGAGATAAATCCTCATAGATCTTGAGAAATTCTCCATCATGTACATATTTTCAGTTGTTACTGAAAGAAAATATTATTACGATTCAGTAAGCTGTTAGATTGTGATCTTCATTAAAAGAAACGACCAATCTAAAATCATAAAAAACGAAGAAATCACATGCACAAGAAAGACAGTAGCTCAAAAACTACATTGCTGGGTTGACATATACAAAATGCAGTTGAGCCTTGTTCTTGCATTCTGTAGGAACAAATAAATACGCATCATCTGGTGGTCACCCAACTATTGCTAGCAAGCTTTGTCTAACAGCTGGAACAGAGCAAATCAAAGAACCGAAAATGCCAGTAAGGGCATATGCAATCGCACAAAATGGAAGAGCCTCGGGTTCTTTTGCTGATAATGCTGCTGTTCCCAGTCCGTGTGCACTACATGAACGAAAAAAATGTTTAGAACTCGAAGCATAGTAGAAGATGAACCCCTCTTTTTTTCTAAGTCACCTCACAAGTTAAAACTGTGAAAAGAAAAATTATAATGGGATGCTCTCACAGAACCAAAATGGTATATTTCATGCCTTTGAATGATTATCATAGCTTTGAAGGAAAGTTGAAAATTGATAAGCATTTTTCATCCATAAAGTCCATACCTCGATGCAGTTGCAATTCCTCGAGCAATGGGATCTTGGAAGCCAAATTTGTCCAGTGTCGTTTGAACAAAATTTGCACCGACCAGTCCAGTAAGTACAACGACAGCAGCAGTCAGAGATGAATTGGCACCTAATCATTAGTAATGTGCATTTTAGACGTTTCAAGCCCGGAAAACCATGTTTATTTACAATTATAGTCATCAAAACAGATTAGGAGGAGTTTGTCAGCTAGAATGAATGAAGTTATCAACCTTCGAAAAAGGAGACAATGCTGAGAGCGAGTGCAACAGTTATGCATCTTGGTAGAACTGATATAGTTAAATCTGGTTCTAATCCAATAAGGCGACCAATGAGAGCAGTTGAATACAAAGAAAACACCGTTGAAAGGATGACAGAGGCGAACATTTCTGCAGCATGCCTCTTAACAAGCTGCAAAAAGCAGAGATTATTTTATTTGCACATCATGTCTTGGTGTCTTTTACTGAAAGGAGTAGACTTCGTAAGACTAATAATCTCTATTCTTTTCATTTCATACCTTGGCATCAGTTTGGCAAAAAATTTGAATCATTTATAAATGATCAAACTTCATTCTTAACCACACATTCCAATGAATACAAAAGTACTATCCATATATCCACCATTTATTTTTTTATCATAAATGAAGGCTTAGATACGATTAGATTCTATTTGAGTTTTGAGATATCTCTATTCTTTTTCACTTGAAATCTTGAAACCATGATTTTCTTATTAAAAAAAATAAAAATAAAAATGCTTCCAGCAATCTTTGAGGTATCTTGTTTGCAACGAGATACCAACTCACATTTTGCCTTGCTAAACCTCCTGGAACTCCTTTCCAGGAAATTATACTTCTGACTGTATAGGATTTTAGTATTCAGTAGAATATGATTAATTTGTTGTTATTGTGGTGGTTATGATGGTCAGGAAATATACTCACTCTTAATATGCATTTATCCAGAAACCAAAACCTCATGATCTGCTCTGAAACATTGAGTTTTCCATACTAAAACCACATGGATCTAAAGGATCGATCATTTTTTTTGTTACCTTTCTCTGTTTGAACATTGAGAAGGCAAAGGAGATAATTACTGATCCCAGAAATCCCATTAGAATATCGCCAGCTCCAGGATTAGATGGGGCCTTTGTAAGATAATATCCTGCATACGTTCATATTTTCTTTTTAGATACTAATGCATTTATATAATGCTGACAGATATGATAGACTCAGATGCCAATTTGAAACTTCTATGAAGAGAATAAAAGTTTTAACAATCAATTTTAGTTTAAGTAAAAAACTTCCATGAACATCAAAGAATGCAGAAATTGTGACATATATGATTAAATCTGCAGGATTATTTATTTTGTTGGCAATGCATTATTGCTAAAAAATCAGAAAATCAGAAGGGTAAATAAAACACGGTAAGAAAAATAATCCATTTATATAAAAATACCGAGTTAAACAAAGCCATTGGGTATGGTTCACTGAAATCTTCCATGCGGAAGAAATGGGAGTACTTTCCATACGATTCCCGATCAATTAATTTTGTTTTTAACTAAATAGTTTATGGCAACAAATAAAGACCATGAAGGTAGGCTACATCCTTACCTAAAACAGAATTAATTCCCAACTGTGAAAGCTGTCCATAAGCCAATGCTGCAACATCTGCTGATAGTGCACAGCAAATAATGGGATGGAAAATCTTCTTCGCATCAGATGGAAGCCTGAAGACCATGATGAAACCATGTCATAAAAATTTAATATAATGAAGACTTAAAACATGAGCAAGTATAATAAAATTGCCTTCAGAAACTGATAGGAAGGTGATATTAAACAGAGAAAAAGATATTACCCAGAACCAATTATATAGCCTAATACAGTAGAGGAGAGGAGAAAAGGCAGGCATGTTCTGGCATTTGTTCCAAGCACTGTGGGGTATAGAAGTGCTGACACAAATGATATAAGAAAAATCGCACTCCATGTCCACAATTCGAATGAAGAAAATGGAGAAGGCTTTGACATAGGCTCAGCTGGTATCATTTCAGTCTTTACCATCTTTCTCACCGCTATAGCTGTAAAACCTGCAACAGAGAGTGAAGCCAGCCACCCCGCAACTGCAGAAAATCAGAAAACAGTGAATCAGAAATGACATAGTGAAATGGTATAGTGTGAAGAGTTAGAAAGAGAGCGTTTGAAGGTTTTTAGGATGCTGAAGATTGTTGGGGCGCCTTAAATGTGAATAAAGCTAATCCAATTAGGCAATTTATGCTCGTTATAAGGATTAAACTGTGAAGTACATATATATCCAAAGGCCAGGAAAACTACCGAGCTAAAAAGATCCATGAAAAAATTAGATTGTATGCTCAACCAAATCTTAGAAGCAGGTCTTAACAGCTTACTTATAGCATGTACCATGTTTCTGTTTTGAATTTTTCACACTAGCTTTATCGAGCTGTGAATAAAAGAAATTTCATATAATACAAGGACTATGTGTCACGGTTCCCGTTGTAAGTTATGTGACTGGGATCCCATATCGGATATGGGCTTTCGATGTGTGGTTTATATATAATTGGGGCTTTCCAACTTCAGGAGCTAGCTTTTTTTGAGGTATGGTTCTCCTAAAATCTATAATAATGGTATCAGGCACCAAGTCTCTTGATTGCAATTGAGCGGCACTGATAGTGACACTGGCATAGCTGTGTTCGTCCAGGATTAGTCATGAACTAGTGCAAAATCAGTCCAAAGTGCAGGGATCTCAGAGCGTGGTGATTTGTATGGTTCCCATTGCATTGAGCCATCGATTGTGAGAAGCAAATGTTTTCTATGACTTAAGAGGCTATGCCATCATTTTTCCGCTCTCCAAATTAAAGACGCTTTTGCAAGCTTTTTTAACTAAGGTGAAGTTATCTGTTGTACTCTGTTTAGTATATTACTCTTTCCTCTTCACGATAGGTTGATTCCATAATCAACTTTAAGTAGTATTTATAATTCAGATTTGAGGACATGTATGAATTGTTCACTAGCAGCACTAAATTGGAGCATCAATAGTTCAACCAGAGTAAGAGATGAACAATGACCAACAATCCTTTGGTATGTACTGTATCAACAACCACATCATAATCAAGATTATGTCCGTCAAGAACACAACCAATAATTTATTAATCACCAATAGTTCAATATTTCAAAAATTTCTCGATGCCAAAAACATTGCATCCAAGATTAGCTAAACAGAGCTCCAAAGGAAGCCAAAGAGTCACTCCTCCAAATGTCAATTGGTGTTATGTATTTCTAAAACAAAAAAATTAAAAGTAAATAGTAATACTAAAAGCATTACGAACAACTCCACAAATCTTAGTCCCTCAATACTGAAACGACTCATTTTCCAAATTAATCCCTTGGATACATATAATTCAAAAGAATATGTGGTGATTCATTCAAAAAAATAGAAAACAAAACAATAAATTTTAGACTTGTTAAACACACGAATAACATACCTATAATGAAAACAATTTTGAGGCCAGACGCTGCAGGAATATCTTTAACAGCCAGAGGTAAGACCACCAGAGAAGGTACATAGAACAATGGAAGCCACCTCTGAATAAACAAAAACGCAGGCTCAAAGAAGTTCATCAAGCCAGTTGCCGCCGCAGGGACAACGAAATCAAGAACATTTAAAACGGTGAATACACAAAACATTCCAAATAGAGCGCTTGGGAACTTAATGGCAGCTGCAATGAATGCCTTCTTCAAATACTTATCCATGGCCAGTATGATTCCAAGTGAAACTATTAAATGCATCACTTTAAACACCTAAAAACATGTTAATATTCCATTAAAACTAATCACGCACACATTAATTCAAAAACTTCACATGGGCAGAGACAAAAATACACACACAGAAAAATTTATACCATGCTTAGAATGCCAGTAGAGGTTGAACCACTGGTTGATTCCATAGATTTAACAATAACAGTCCGATTGGAGTGACTTTTCTGAAGATCTGCAGACAAGAACTTGGAATGGAGTCCATGAACATTATTGGGTCGTGAATTTTTGTGGGAATTACTGTACTCATTGTGTGTTCTTGATTCGCCATCAGAAGCTACTGCAAGAGATATTGATCGGATCTTTCTCAGATTTTTGGCAAAATTGAGATGATTTAGACAGGAAATTCTTGAAGAATTGTAAATGGCAGGAATAAAAGGTACATTTCTTGAAATTGCAGAAGCTGTTGCCATTAGGATAGCTGAACAGAGGAAAACGTAGCAGCAGAAGAGGTGACATTTTATTAAATTGTGCGTGTGAAATTTGTGTGGATACCAAAAGACGTTGGAAACTAGAGAAGATGAGAAAACTCACAAATATACACCAATGATTTGAAGGAAAATTAGAGCGAGCCTCACCAGTTAAATCTTTATGTAGATAACAAAATTGTATAATATATATATATGAATTTGGGAGTAAAATATATTTTATATTTTCAATTATTACTTATTATTGACTTGCTTAAATTAGAATGGTTTTTAAATTTCAAAATATGTGTCAAAAAATGAGTTCAACCGATACAGTCCAAACAAGGTAAGTTAGTCAGTTTGCATAACTCAGTGCTATAGGTGAACAGATTATTGGCTGCGATTTTTAGGGTTTTCAAACCCTAAACGATGTGCAATATTTACCTACTTTATAGCAGGATTGGTCAAATTATTAAAAGAAGGAAAGATCGTTTGAACAAATCAAAATTTTCTTAATTTAAGGAAAAATTGCAACAGGGATCTCTAATTTTTTCAAATTTTGCAGACTTTATCCTAACTTTGAAGTTGTGCCAACGAAGGCCCCAAACCTTTCTTAAATATGTAGTCGAGGTCCAAATGGATGGAAACCATCCAATTGACCATTAGTTGACCAAAAATTCTGATTTTGACCAAGTTTGGTAGGGGATTTACATCAATCACATATTTAACCTTTTTAAAATCAAATTAAGCTAAAAACAATTAGAAAAAAAGAAAAGAAAAGAAATTTGCATCTTCATCTCTTTCACCCCCACCCTCCTCTCTCCTCCCCTCCCATCATCCCAACCACCCTCAGCAATGACGCCACCAAGCCTACCCACACAATCCACCAACTCCAACCACTTTCAGCCACCACACACCACCAAACCATCCACACAAGCAACAACCACCAATGTCAAAGCAATCAATTGAAGTGCCCATTCGATAATCCCAGAGTTGCATCACATTATTGTGAAAACTAGCTAAAATCCATGGCCGCTTACTGCTCTTTGACCAATAATAATCTTTGTTTCAAACTTCGTCGACATTTTTCAATTCTTCACAACCAAATCCGACCTGGAGAGGCTCTATTAAGGAAGTAACTAGAGGCTCGACCCCCAATCTCCTTTCTATAGCCGGCACCATGGGTAGATGAATGTGCTTCCAACCTGTTATGCACACCAGATTTGAAATAAAAAAAGGTCCTCGAGGAGTGAAGGATTTGGGTTTGAATTCTTGAATGTTGGTTTTGAAATTTTCTCGAGAACCTGGGTAATGGAGTCTTTGTTGGAAGAATTTTGTGAATAGTGACGCCGAAATAAGTATAATGATGGTGACAAAGCCGAGACAAGAGTTGGACTCTTTGTCCTTAAGTCGAATTTGCCCCGCAACGGTGCCTACGGATTTCGGCAATCGACTCCCAAGATACAACGGCTACACTTGTGTTTGTAGCACTCCAAAACACAAGTACAACGAACCAAATGTAGGCTTATGTACTCCAAAGATGAAATGAAAGAAAATCAAAATAAATGAAATGATTTTGATTTTGGATAGAAGGGAGGATGAGAGACGTTTTTGCATATCAAATTGTGAGGAATAGGACACCCAAAGGGTCCTATTTATAGACCATGAAAGGGTGTGGACGAAATGGTTGAGGCCAAACCATGCACCCTTTCCAAACAATGCACCTTTATGAAAATGTGTCTATTCACTAATGGTTGAGGCCTTTTTTTTTTTCGTAATTTCTCATTCATCCGATATTGATTTTCGAAATGCCAAATATACCCTTCAATACATGCAGAGAAATCAAAATTCTCTTACCCCCCACGAGGGGAGCTGCCCCCTCGACCCCCGCGACCTGACCGGTCAGGTCGATCCCCGTTTGTGCGCCCCGAAGCGGCGAAGTGGCAAACAATTTTGCCTAAACGGATTGAGTCGAGCTTTTGAGTATTTGACCGAAGTCGATACGAACTTTAATCGATTTTCAATTCTCGATTTATTTAACCAATATCCAACAGTCTTGTGGTCAAGTTCTCAGTGAAAGTGATTAGTGGTGGTGAAAAAAGGGAGAAGTGGTAGCATTGGTTGGTGGCCGACATCTTGTAGATGGAAGTGGCAATGATCGACGAGTGACGGAGTTGTGTCGTCGTGGGTCTGATTTTGGGATGGGGTTGGGGCGTGGTGGGGTGGAAAAGACGACTATTGATATTTGTTTTCATTTTATATTTATTTATTTTATATAAAGGTTTAAATTACTATTTTTAACCTTTTAAAATTGGTTAAAACTTGGCCAAAATCAAAATTTTTAGTCAACTAACGGTCAGTTGCATCCATTTGGACCTCAATTGCATATTTACAAAAGGGTTGGGACCTTCGTTGGTACAAATTGAAGGTTAGGGTAAAACTTGCAAAAATTAAGAAGGTTAGGGACCACTATTGCAATTTTCCTTAATTTAATTATTGACTATATCAAACATATTTTATACATATACAAAAATATATATGTTTACCTTATTGGACTGGTTTTGTTGGTCAAATAATTAAAAGAAGGAAAATTTATTTTAATAAATTAAAACTCCATTAATTTAATTATTGACCATGTCAATCATATTTTATATTATTCTTACTGTTCAAGACTTCCATATTTCAGGTAAGACATGTTCGTGCATTGGGAGGGTCTTTACATAAGTAAAGAAAATCATTTAAGGATGAACGGATGCTTTGAGAAAAATCTACCTATGCCAACGAACCTGTAATAGCAACTTCTGAAGTTTTTGACAGTCTTCAATGAGTTCTGATAGGTTGATGTTCCATTGAAGTATCTCAAAGCAATAATCGTGTTCTTCAATCGTGATTGACGGGAACACACCTATGCATGAATGATATAATCCCACTTAGAGATCAAGCCGTTTGGGCATGAGTTAAGATTGGTGAATCTTAATCCAAGTGGTGGTTGAGGTTGAATACAATAGTGAAGTGGCGATAAAGTCAAGTTCGGAGAATTAGATTTCACTTCTCCAACATGTCAAACAAAAAGCTAGTAAAAGATCATAAATGCTATCGAGATTTTCAGTTATAACTTCAAATAATATTATGTGTGCGTGCTGAAACTGCACCCTTCTTACAGCAAACCACAATAAATATAGACTTAATTATTTCAGTTCGACCACCAATCTGAGAATGTGCAGTGTTGTTGAGTTGTAACTCTATCCAAACTTTTTCCACAAAGTCGACCAGAATTAATCTAAGGACTTCGAATCTCGATCAGAAGTCAAAGATCGAAGGCTCCCTATGTAGTCTGACTATCTCCTCAAAGAACACCTTCGCCACATATGGTGATTGCCGGTGTTACGAAAAGAATTAAATGTGCAAATTTAGAGGATTTGTCCACTATAATGAAAAAAATAAATCTTCACCTCGTTGTGTACGAGGTAATCTCAACGTAAAGTCCATGGAAAGATCCTCCCGAGGCTGCTCCGAAATAGGCAAAGGCATATATAACTGGAGTTCTACCCTTTCAGCATTGAAAAACTGGACAGTTCCTCGGGAATCTGTCGGCATCCCTCATCAATTGCGGTCGTTATGTGACTAAAGATAAATAAATAATCACAATTTATTTATTATAAATATTATTTTACAAGAGCCAAACTATGTTATATATGCACATAACCTAAAATGTCTAATCTTGTAGAACCCACAGATAGGATGAAACCCTTTTAACGATGCATTTGTTTCTTATCGATTTAATTGCTTTTAAGTGACTAGAATGTTTATGGTTCGTTCTTATAGAAATTGGATATTTTCTCATCTTAAATATCATGTATTTTTTTCAAGTTAGAAATTGATTAGGCGAATTTATGCTTCATGTTTAGAGTGTTAATTAATTTCCTCTTAATTTTTTTCCCATTTGATATTAGGAAAGTTGAGAAAATTTACTAACGAAGCAAATTGGGAGCTACATTTCGTTTATTTAACTCAGAAGTAATTGCTAATGTATGGGTCGACGTTAGATTGATTTTCAATAGTTACTTGAATTAGAATTAGTTGATAATTAGCCCATCGTGTAATTAGATTGTGGTGGATTCTCAAGCCCTGGTAATTTTGATCACTTGAGTCATTGTTCTAGTTAGTTAAGTAAATTTCATTTACTTATCATGTTTTATCTAAAATTATTTCGAGAAGAACTCGACTTTTATCAATTAGACTATAGTAATAATTAATATAGATTAGAGTTGGCTTTCTCAATACAATCTCTATATTCCAACATATTCTGTAGAAGCTCGAGAAAAAAAATGAAATTAGATTATTATTTTGTGATGATCTAGTACCAAGAGCCTTGCCTATTCAAAAAATGAGTTATGGAAGCTCAACCCATTTAAAATTTTAAAAGCTCAAGCCATAAGTTAATTAAGAGCCCAACAATTTAAGATATTAAATTTAAATAAATTTGATTACAAAGATTTAATGAATAACTGAGTTGTTACAATGGTCATCTGCATGATATTTCGTATAGGCAATCCAGATTTGAATCACCATGTAGATGTTTTTATAAACAAAATTTATGAATTATTTTTTAGGGCTTAAAAACTCTTCAAATTCTTAGTTAAAGATCCAATTTAACAAATTTAATGATAATACAACTCCCCCATTTAGTTTTTTGACACTTAAATTTGTACTCGAAAATGCTAGTTTTCTTACTTTTAAACGTGTGGTGCTTTTTATACGCTATGAATTTTGTGTATTATATAACACTACCTATGTGAACTTGGAATTTGTTAAGTGAAACTTATATTGTCACTACCGGGTGGCGAGTTGGTTTCTTCAAGCATGTTTAACATTTAAAGTTGAGCTCATTTTTCACTTGCCCAATACAGATTGCTTGGAAATTTCATGAAAAAAAAATTCCTTGTGATGTCATATGGATGGACATAGATTACATGGATGGTTTTTGATGTTTCACATTTGATCAGGCATGTTCCATCTACTTAAAACTTGGTTTGTTCCGGAGATGAAGTATAAAAAATAATTAAAAGTTCGTTACTTCCGGACATAAATTATAAAACGTACATTTGCCGTGTAGGATCGATTTTCGGATCCAAGGTCTCTTGTAGACTATCTTCATCAAAATGGTTTCAAAGCAAACTGGATGCTTGACCAAGGGATCAAATAGGAGAATGGCTATTTCGTCTATGACAGTGGTTCTGAAAAAGATGTTTGGGTTTAAATTGCTTGTCAGAAGCCGTTTGTAGGTACTTATAATACCTTCATCCCACCTCATGTTCCTGTAAAAAAAAAAAAAAAAAAAAAAAAAAAAAAAAAAAAAAAAAATAGAAGAAGAAAATTAAAAAAAGCGTGAACTGGACATGGTAAAATTTTAGTTTGTTTGAACTTATACTTCTTTTTTGCCAATAGTTAATACTAATTTTATTTGCTTCTATCTTTAGGGAAGGTGTGGCCTGGGCTGTGTGTATTTCCTGACTTCACAAGATCAGAAGCCCGCTCATGGTGGGCTAGTCTTGTCAAGGACTTTGTAACTAGTGGTGTGGATGGTTTATGGAATGATATGAATGAACCGGCAGTTATGGAGGTGAAGTTCAAACTTTGTTAGAAGTGCATTTCTTTCTTGGTTTTGCGTAACATATTTTGTTACAGACTCCAACGAAGACTATGCCTGAGAGTAATATTCATAGGGGAGATCCACAACATGGAGGCAAACAGAACCATTCACATTATCACAATGTACTGCTTGGCCCTGAGATCATCTTTATGTACTTCAACTTTACTCATGAAATCGATATGCTTAGTGTAGTCTTTTAGTTTGCTTAGTGCATAGAAAAATAATCTACTAATTAGTGGTTTTCTTTCAGATCATGTATGATGCCTGAATTTCCATTCACCGATTTCAGTTGCTTATTTCAGGTTTATGGTATGCTGATGGCAAGATCAACATATGAAGGCATGAAACTGGCCGAAGAACAAAAACGTCCATTTGTTCTTACTCGAGCTGGGTTTGTGGGTAGCCAAAGGTATGCTGCTACGTGGACAGGAGATAATCTTTCTACCTGGGAGCACCTTCGTATGAGTATCTCTATGGTTCTTAATCTGGTAAGTGAAAGATATTGCCAAATATGTCTTTGAAAACCATAAAGGATACCAAATTCTTTTGTTTTTTTTCAATGCGCCACTATTGCGGACTCTTTAACATTTTTACTTTTGGTATCATCGATAGTCATACCTTGGGTTCATTTATCTCCAACAGCACATTACCAAATCTTTCTTTTCTGGAATTCCTATCTTTAGCCCATATATTATTAACCTTTTATCAAATGGATGTTCACATGTACACTGATTGGTGAGAGATAATTGAGATGTATAACATAATATTGCCTTAAAAAGCTTGGGAATGGGCAAAATGATTAAGAAATCCACCTCGGATATTTATATCGTATCTTTTATTTGCATAGTTAGGGGACGTGAAAGAACAAATTAACATCTATAGTAATTAGAAGACAAAGCCCATGTTTGGCCTCCATTTTTCTAGAAATCATTTTTACCCGACGTCAATTTTAACCGCATATTTCACGAGACCAACAACTTTTATCAACTTTTCAATCACACACTACATCAACTTTTATCAAAACCTACTAAAAAACTGATTTTCATCTAAACCAGATTGGGGCGAAACAATTCAAAACTCTGGAGGAATTTACTCGGTTCATTTTAGCTTTCCCTCGCAGTACTCGTATGCTATTGATCGTTAAGGAATACTCGTGCCGTTAAGGATAAAAATACCAAATTATTGGGAGAGATCACCCGATGGTGATTGTAGATGATCCCTGATGGGCACAGTATGTATGATTCATTGCTTGTGGTTTTGATGGACCTCAAGTTTTCACGCCTCATTCTCACAAGGAGGGACTTTGAAGCATGTATAGAACAATAGGATCTGCAAATGACAACCCCCACGAGAGACTTAAAAGCATATGCTAATACTCGCGTGTATGCACGTGTGAGAACGAATTTATGTAAATAAGCACATTTTTAATCCATAATCGTAAAATATGTGCTTTTATTTCGATTATTAATTTAATGGAAGATGAATATAAAAAGCGACTCTGGCACTTGTCTTGTCCTCTGATGACATAATGACATTTCTATACTAATTTTGCATAGTTATCGGCAAAATGCTTGAGAGAGTATGCCTAACTGAATTTACCACTGAATTAAAAAAAATGATGCCACTTTCAGCTTTTTCCCCTTGCTATAGTCGACCAAATTAATGAGCTTGTATCCAGGGGCTTAGTGGACAGCCATATTCAGGGCCAGATATTGGTGGATTTGGTAGGGATGCAACATCGAAGCTGTTGAGAAGGTGGATGGGTGTAGGAGCTATGTTTCCTTTTTGTCGTGGGCATTCTTCGAAAGATACCATTGATCACGAGCCTTGGTATTTCGGAAAAGAGGTTGGTCGTTTATTCACAAATAAGTGACTAATTATGTATATGTGAAGGTCATATGTGAGTTTTTTTGTCAAATGACGTTCGCGAGAATTTCACCGTACTTCTTTCTTTTCGTTGCTCTAATGTGACTACACAAAAAGAACTCCAATATTTTATGTAATTACGGTAAACTGACTGGTGCTGGAGAGATCGCAAGTGAGAATATAGTGATTCCTTCGCAAGGTTAATGCTATTGCATTGACGACGACGAACTCGTATACTTTTTCTTACATTGATATACAGTATTTTCTGAGCATAATTAGTTTAGTATGAATATTAGATATGAGAGAGTGTGTTATAGAATCATTTTAGGCCCTTCGACTACTAAGTTCCGTCTCATCTTTTACCTGAATTTTTTAACATGTCAGAGCGTGGTCATTCCAGGCGGTTAACTCTGTTTGGGTTTTCCACTGTCTTCATTTAATTGTTTGAAGTTGAAAGTTCCATGCAGACAGTTTCTCTTATTTTTAATGTAGCATGACTGAGTTTAGTGGAAGAACAAACTGAACACCAAAACTTCTTTATTTTTTATTAGTTCTGGAATTTAGCACACTCAAGTCCTCGTAATACCAATTATGTCAAGACCACCAGAAGTTGCAAATCGGCGACTGATTTTTACCTGCAACGTTATATCTTGTGCATTATAATTCTATTCTCTATGCTAATTTGTCTGAAGCAATCTTCGTGTACTGGTATAGAAATAACATCATGCTATTTCAATTGAATTTCTATTTCAATCTTCATGAAATTTCTATCCATGCATTTTCTTTAAGATTACTACTTGCTACTCTTCACTTCATCAAGTGTAAGTCTTTTATCTCTCACAGTGTGAAGAAGTTTGTCGATTGGCATTGATGAGGCGGTATCGGCTTTTACCTCACATATATAATCTGTTTTACTTGTCACATACACTGGGGATCCCTGTGGCAACTCCAACCTTTTTCGCCGGTACGTTCTCATGATGGCCAATTAACTGGGCTTCTTGACATTTGCAGTAGAGCACATTCCTGTATGGTTTTTATAAGGGTTAAGATTCTTTTGCAGATCCTAAAGACATGAAGTTAAGAACACAAGAAGATTCATTCTTGTTGGGGCCACTTCTCGTATATGTTAGGTTCTCACCTCTTTTGAACTTGAAGACAGTGACGACCGAAATATTTAGAATTAACACTCAATCAAATATGCTCTCTTTTACGAGTTCCACTTACTTTTGTGTTCATTATTTTTCATTTCATCTATAGGTGCCACAATAGGAAATATTACTCTTCTAAGTTCTTTTGGTTACTGTATTCGGTTTTGCAGCACGAAGGATGATCGAGAGTCATGTGAAATGCTGCACAAGTTGCCTCAAGGATTATGGTTAAGTTTTGACTTTGAAGATTCTCATCCGGTACTTCAAAATATCCTATTATACGACCTTTAATTTTAACTTGCATTTTCTTTTTGGTCAACGAGATCTTGCAAGTCCAAGGTATCGTGAACAAGTAATGTAATGATAAGTAAAGTGTCGTCCACGAAAACTATATACCTAATCCAGGTTTAATTAATGGTAATTCTAATCGAATAGTCAAGTTAGCATGAAGAATTTTTATAACTAATTATCTACTTTGCTAGTGAGTAATTAAGCAGGTTTTTGTAAACTTGATTAAATACGCACTACGACTTTGGATTCTCCTTATTAATCCATTATGATGCAATTCATTACCGTGCAATATTTATTTATTTATTCTTGTTGTCTTAATAATCTCTCTCGAATAAAATTAAGCACATCATCTTATGTGACTTTCCTATAGCTTCATGAAAGATGCGAACATGAAAGCAAGCATTGAAACTCTAGGACACTAATAAATTTCATGCAAGTCGTAACGGTATATTTGTATACTCTACGGACCTCACAACAATAGTTACAACGTGCTATGTTTCTAATTATTTCTCTCAAAATTAACAAAAATCACACATCAATCAAATTAAACCATGCATTGATCAACAATTTGTGCCTAACTTTTCCCTATTGTCGTACTAGGATTTGCCATCCCTGTACCTAAAAGGAGGATCCATTATTCCTTTGGCTCCTCCTCATCAACATGTTGGTGAAGCTAATCGTACAGATGATGTAACTCTGCTGGTGGCTTTGGATGAACATGGTAATTTTTCTGGGTTATATATTTTGCTGGCACATATCACTACTTCTGTTGAAAGTTGCAAACAAATAATATTTCCCTTTTACTAACGGATTGACTGGACATTGGCGTATTTTTGAATCGATTCTCTTTAATCGCAGGTAAAGCTGAGGGTTTTCTCTATGAAGATGATGGTGATGGATATGAATATCTTAAAGGAGGATACCTGTTGACAACATATGTTGCTGAATTTCTGTTGGAGGAAAGATGGGTTTACTAACTTGGATTAGCTAAGGTTTTTAAGAGGACAACACTAATAGGAAGAAGGAAGTGAAAAAAGGAAACTTGTATTTCTCAAATTCAAGACTTTACACATTTTTGACTTGTTACAAAATGGAGGGCACTACCCCTTTATATAGTGTTTACAAGAAGATTCTAGTCCACACATTTTCTAGAGACACTTAGACCACATATCAAGATATTTTCCTAGAATTCTCTAGATATTCTTTATAAAACTACATATCTTACTTAGATATTTATATAGATTTTTCTAGTAGTTATTTATATAGATTTTTCTAGATAATGCTTCTAGAAATGCTATACATGTTGGGCCTTTTAATTGATTTGGGCCTATAAGCAAAATCCTTAAGCCTATATTATTTAGTCCAAAAATCAAGTTTGCTACTCAACATCCCCCCTTAAACTTGATTTTGCTACTCTAAGTAAAGTTCTTAACTTGCGGAACACATCATGCTTGAGTGGCTTAGTGAGAATGTCGGCGATCTGCTCCTAGGAGGTTACATATTTCAGTTGCACTTCTTTCTTTGCAATGCTTTCTCTTATGAAGTGATATCTTGTATCAATGTGCTTGCTTCTATCATGGAATACTGGATTCTTTGCCAATGCCAATGCCGATTTGTTATCAACATGGATTTCGATTGGCTCTTCTTGTGATACTCCAAGCGTCTTCAACAAGTTTCTAAGCCAAATAGCATGGCAGACACTTGATGTAGCTGCAACATATTCAGCTTCACATGTAGATAGTGCTACGATCGATTG